GATACCACCCCTGGATGGAAGAAGAGTACTTCCAGAGAAGATTCCACATCTACCTATGAGACAGATAAGGAAAGTCAAGCCGATACCACACTCCGGGACTTAGAAGTTTCGTGGTTACGAGATCATTCTCCCACAATATTTCCTAAAGTCATTTGTACTAAATCATTCACTTGTACTCCCTAAAGGAGAGCTTGAACCTATGTACTTGTGTAAACCCTTCACAATTAATGAGAACTCCTCTATTCCGTGGACGTAGCCAATCTGGGTGAATCACGTACATCTTATGTTTGCTTTCCTATCTCTATCCATTTATATACTTATCCACACTAATGACCGGAGCAATCTAGCGAAGATCACAAAAAGTGACCGTTTTCGCTACCTAGGATCTATCTTGCAAGAGAACGGAGAATTAGCTGGAGATCTCAACCATAGAATACAAGTTGGATGGATGAAGTGTAAGAGTGTATCCGGCGTGTTGTGTGATCGTCGTAGGCCACTGAAGCTCAAGGAAAAATTTTATAGGACGGCAATAAGGCCAACGATGTTGTATGGCACAGAATGTTGGGCGGTGAAGCATCAACACGTACACAAAATGGGTGTAGTGGAGATGAGGATGCTTCGTGGGATGTATGGGCACACGAGAAAGGATAAGATTGGGAATGAGGATATCCAAGGTAAAGTAGGAGTAGCCAAAATTGAAGGAAATATGAGAGAAAATCGGTTCCGGTGGTTTGGACATGTGCAAAGAAGGCCTACTGACGCTCCGGTTCGAAAATGTGACTACGGGACAGAAGTTCAGGGCCGAAGGGGTAGAGGAAGACCTAGGAAAACTTTGGAAGAGACCTAAGAAAAGACTTGATTACTTGGATCTAACGGAGGACATGACACAAAACCGAGCGCAATGGCGTTCTAGGATTCATATAGCCGACCCCACTTAGTGGGAAAAGGCTTTGTTGTTGTTGTTGTTGTTGTATTTTATTTGATTTGACTACGTCCGTTTTTGACTTTGGAACCAAATAACGAATTGGGAAGGGAAGCAAGGGATAGAGAAGCATGGGTTTTCAGTTTTCACCCACGAGAGTCGAGACCATGAAGAGCACCTTTTACGTAATGAGTCTATTATCATTTAGGTTGATCCAATAAATATTGTTATTTAGGAAAAAAAATTTATATATGGCAATACATTATTAGATAGAGAATTGTTATTGGCACTCTAAAAATCTCATTATACATTCCAAACTTTCTATATTTGGAAAGAAAAATACATTTGTGATAAGTATAGAATAAAATTTTTGAAGTGCCAATAACACTTCCCATTAGATAAGAGACTTTATCTTTCACTGTTGAGTGATTGCCTAGCTTAGCTATAAAATTAGAGAGCCCGTAGACTCAGCATCTGCCTGCCACTAACATATTCAGTTAATTCTTTTTAGGGAAAATTTGAAAGAGGTCTAATTTTATAGCTTATCTTTTGAAATATGTCTAATTTTTAGTGACTTTTGACTTTTAAAATAGGTCCAATTTTTAGTCCAATTGGACCCATATCAAAAGACCCCTTTTCTTAATTAAGTTCATGTTTATCTTGCTATATATGGGGAGGATCTCTATCTGTCTACTTGTTCTCCTCTAATCTTTCTGATCAGTCTGGCTAGCTAGCTAATCTCTTTTTCGTGCAGGTTGATTTCTATAATTGTTTTGCATGGGATTTTAATTAGTTCTTTTTTTTTTCATTCTTTTCATAAATTATAAGTGAGTATTCTGTACCGAGGGTAGTAAATGGCCATGACATCCTCTCTGGAATGGCCTTTCATGTTTCTGGCAGAAAGAGAAAAACTAGGCTCACACACACACACACGCGCACTCTCTCTCTCGGTTGAGGGTCGGCTTAATTAATTTCTCCCATCCATCCACCTATCCGTCAGTCAGTCATTTTGTCTTATTACGTTGTCTTCTGCCTTTGTCCGGGAACGGAAGAAATGCCTTATGCTTGCTTAGCAGTCTCCATGACTTCCAAACTAATTTTGCCCAGGCATTTATCATCCGTATATATCTATATATACTCTCTACAGTGTGTATATATATAAATTTCAAAATGCATATATATATGCTGGCTACACTATTCCTTTTGCCGCGTCTGTCTAATTAAATTACTAGGACCAAAAAATATATATATATAAACCCTAATATTGGAAAAAGGACACCTCCACTTGCAAATTGCATTAAGTGTTGTCAAGTAACTTACAACATTTCACCAGTTGGTTAAATGATTTCTGAGTTCTGAGAGAAATTTTATGTTAACTATAATATTGTACAAACTAAAAGGGAACTGTTATTAATACTTCAAAAATCTCATTCTACACTTCTCAAACGTGTATTTTTCTTTCTAATTATAGAAAGTTTGGAGTGCCAAATGAGATTTTTAAAGTGCTAATAATAATTCTCAACTAAAATGGTAACTCATTAATCATTATATATTGATGACCCCAAAACTTATGGCCTAGCATGCTCTTCGATAAAACTATTTCACACACAAAACTAAGGATAATACTAGGCAGGCAAAGTTTTTAAACAAAATTTGCAAACTATAATACATTATCAATACAAAATAAGCACGTTTTCTTACGTAATAATCAAATCGTCAACTTTCATGTTATTTAGTGTACAAAACTTAGTCTACAATGCATCCATCTTTTTGAAACTTACCATATCATCATACGGGGATATATGCTTTAACATTATTATGATTTATGATCATGCATATATTATATGTCAAAGATTTTCAAATTTCATAACCAAATTAAATTTAGAAATGACTAAGCTATTATAGGAATAGGATCATATATATGGGACTGCTGCAAATAGATATCTGTCTCCTAATTTTATTGTTGAGACAGAGTGCAAACAAATCCTCCAGACCCATGCACTATGTCTCCTAATTTTATTGTTGAGACAGAGTGCAAACAAATCCTCCAGACCCATGCACTATGTCTCCTAATTTTACTGGTGAGACTGCTGCGAGTTGAAGGACACTTTCTGGACAAACTTGTTTTCCCTTTTTCTTTATTTTTGTTGGGCATGTTCTGGTTCTTTTTTTCCCCCTTTTGTTTCTCCTTAGAGGACGGAGGAGGATTGCAATACTAATATATATATATATATATATATATATATATATATATATATATATATATGCAAAGAAAATATATTTATAGTTGATATACTATGTGTATGAGAAAACAATTTCCAAGAGACATAAATTAGATATAATTAAATTGTCTGTAAATGGGGTATTGATTAATCAAATTAGACTGCCTCTTCCACCCATCTCTCTCTCTCCCTCATCGGACTGTTTCTTTTGGCTTTTGAAATCTCTCGAACTTTTTCTTCTTGATAGTTAATATACCCTGCATATCTGTGCCAAAACAAATGGATAGAAAGAGTTAACAAAATCATGAGTGTGGGACTATGCATGTATGACTTATAAAGCAAAACCTAATTAAACACAAAATTATTTAGCTAGCTTTTCGCATGAGTAGAGATTGTCAAACAATACAACCGTGCGCAGTGTAAGGCTGTTTGCATAATGATTGCTTCCAGCGAATAGTCCGAGTCCGGACTTCGGGTTATTTATATACAGTCCCAAAGGCTGTTTTTCTTTTGTTGTAAAAAAGTCCTAAAGTCAGTTTTGGGTATAATCAATTTTTCTTTCACAGTAAGAATTTATTTCGTTTTAAATGGATAAAAAAGAAAGGAACGAATTGATAACAGTATTTTGATGTAGGTACAACAGTGGGATTTGTATCGTATTCTTTTTCCTTTTTTTTTTTTTTTTTTTGTTTTGGATAAACGATATTGTAAATGAGTTAAACTGTTAGCTGTAAGGGTAACGAGGGATTTGTGAGTATCGGACTCACACGAGAGTGTTTAGACGTGATTGTTTTTTGCCGTGGCGATAAAACGTCATTTGTTTTTTTTTTCCCTTCATTAAGTTGGACTCTTCTTCGGATGTGCTCACTTAAAAATATTTAGGGTTTTCAAAAATAAAATAATTATTTAGAGTGGGTTATTGGCACTCACAATTTGTTGAATATACTAATAATTTAGATGTACCACTATAAAATACTATTTTGGGTATGGTTATGTTTGGAGGAAGGATTTTCAAAGTCCCACGTCCACCATGAAATAACATCTACACACCAAGAGTCTTTTTCTTCAAACTCTCGTACATGCTCCCACCCTTTATTGTGGGATCAAATAAACCCCTACCACTAGTGACGGAAATACTCACACTCACTTTGGTACGGTTAACTTTGACAAATAGAACACAAAATCGACTGTTTACTGCATATAAGGTGTATATATATATGTATATATATAACTCTTTTGTTCCCATTTTGCATCATGTGGAAGTCATAACGCTGGTCAAACCCTAAACCACGAGACAGTATTTTATTTGATATTTCTCTTAATTATGAAGATATGTTGGTAGATCTATACCCAAAAAGTGAAGACATTTCGATAGATATCTAACAAAAAAGTGGATATATTCAATTAGTACATACTGATTTTTAAAACAATTTCGGTAAGCATGCACCTCCCAAAACATTACCTCAGTACATTTTGCGAAAAATTCAACACGGTTTCAGCATAACTTGGCTGAAACTTTACTCACTTTCGGTTGGAAGCTATCGACTTTTTAAAACACTGTATTTGGCAGTGCGGGTGTAGGAATAGTTTGGTTAAGTTAAGCGGTTGTATGAATTTAGAGTACTTTCGGTATATCCTTAACAAATGTAGGATATCAATCAAATCACTCTAGTGTTTATGGTTAATTTTGAGTATTTTACAGATCACCTTAATAGTAAACAATAATAAATTACTTTTCTGTTGAAAGAAGAAAATATTAAAATATGTTTTTAAATAACTAAATACGAACTTCAACAATTAATTTTCACCATAAAATTAAAAATTTGAAAACTTTTATTTGATAAGCATTTGGCCTGATTGACTGTATGTCAATTAGCGCATAATTGACCTACAAAAGTAATCATACAGTACTAATTAAGGGCACTTATATATCCAACCATCAAAAGCCGGAAATAACAAGAACAACAACAATAAAACTAATAAATGGATCACAACCAAATTGATATTACTGTGGAAATGAAATATAAAATTTGTAATTGTATATTTATGTATAAGACGTACTTATTCTACTCAATCCTAAATGAATATCGTATTTTTCCTATAAAAATAATAATAATAATGGACGTACCTGAAATAATTTGATGGGATTGGTTAAAGTTGTTGTGAGTAGGCAAGGAAACGAGGAAATCCTAATTAAGAAGGATCAATGGTTCGGCGGTCGTCACCAGCAGCAGCCCTAGTTTGCTGGAGCTGTTGACTGAGTTGGCCATAAATGCCCCCTGCAGCAGCGTTCATGGCAAGAAGGCTTGCATCGTAGTTGTTTCCGCCATCAAGGCTCCTAAACATCATCTGTTGCTGATGATAGGAATGATGATCTCGATCTCTGGGAAAAAACTGGTTGGGGTAGTGTTCTCGGCCTCCGCCGCCTGAAATGAGATTGATGCCCATCCCCAAGTTGTTGAGTGAAGAGGACTGTAAATGTAGATGATGGTCCTGATCGTTATTATTATTGTTATTGTTACTGTGGGTGTGGGCGGCAGCAGTGGCAGTTGCGGCGGCAGCAGCGGCGGCGGCTATGAGTCCGTGGCTGGCAGTGAGATTTTGATATTTGGAGAGTTCGGATTTAGCACAGGTCAGATCCATCTGAAGTTGGCGGAGTTGGTGTTGGAGGAGAGAGATGACTCCAACGCAGCCGTAGACGGGATCGCGGAGGCGCATATCGGCCTCGTAGGCGAGCGAGTTGACGGCGTCCTCACGCTGGTGTGGGTGCAACTCATTGAGCAGTTTAGTGACGTTGCTGGCCCCAAAAACTTTGTGAACATTAGCAAACTTATGCGGCTGGTCCGGTGGGAAGTATGGCGCAAATACGCACTCTGGCTGGCACTTACGTCGCAGGAACTTACACGCCGCGCATGGCGAATTTGTCGACGACGATGCCATCTTCCACCTCTTCCTCCTCTGTATTTGACCAATCCATTCATTAATATTACATATATAATACACGTATTAAATAAGATCATAACCATCATCATCAGCATACAAAGATCGCGAAAATTCCAAAACTAAAATTCCCATGGCATAAACTGAAAATAAAAAAAGGTTAACTACAAAAAAATGAAAAGAAAAAAAACCTTATACATTCACCGAATCACAGATGGAAGAATAATTTTTTGGTCGATGTTTAATTTTCTTATCAGCATCTTTAAACTTGTCCCGTTACCATGACGGACAGTAATTAAGTGGTACTGATGATTATCTCACCAAAACACTGATCTGAATTCTTGCAATGAATAACAAATGCTGCAAAAAGGATGAGAAACGTTCGGCAGAAAAGGAATATTCAATGAATCATGATGAATGAATAGGCCCAACCCGAGTGGAAAAGAAATTAAACAAACAAACGGACCTAATAAGAAATGAATTCGAACAAGAAAAGAGAGAGAATGCAAAATCTATGGCATAGTGGCGGCTTTGCCATAGTAAGATCAGCGCCGGCCAATCAAAGGTGGAATTTCCCTCTTATATATTACCTTGAATAATTCCCCTAGAAAATCAACTAAGTAATGATTCAAAATTCGAGTGAACACGATGGTCAGGTAAAATAGGTATACGGTATTATTTGCCAGTAGAAGAAAGTAAAAATAAAAAGAAAACATTGACATATATCACTGATATTCTTCTTCTTTTTTAATTCGTTTTAAAAAAAGAACCAAAATGCAATCTTTTTCGTCTGAAAAGATCTGGTCTACCGAACTGTAAAAGGGAAGTTAGATATACAAAAGAACATGCATATGAACAAGAATATTACAGATAACATGTATGTGTATAAGCATGTTCTTGAAAACCATAAAGAGATCCAGCAAAAAATAAAAGAGAAAAACAGTGAGAAAAACAGTAAGATACATACATATATATGTATATTTATATTTATATATTAATTTCTAGAGTAGTAATTCTTGTCTAGTTTCTCTCACCACCCCAGAAACCCTAAGCGGAAGGTAGGGGTTCAAAAATATCGATTCTTCTCTTGTAGGGAATAATCGACTACTAGATAAACACGGAGAGAAGATAAGATGCAGAGGAGGAGAGAAGAGATGATTTGAACGGGACTTTAAATTTGCAGGGTCGTCTCTCTCTCTAGGGTTTTTATCAGAGGAAGGAAGGAAGCATACAGTAGTGATAATAATTAATTAAAAAAAGAAAGGTTATTTACCCGTGGGTTTGAGCCTGATAGATTGGATCTCGTGATGGAAGGAGTTGAAGAAAATGGGGTTATGTTTCACCGTTCTCGATGAAAGCTTTGGAAGCAGATCTTGCTTGAATTTCTTACTAGAAAAATTATATATAGAAGATGGAAAGAGATATAAATATATATGACTACTTAAAGTTTAATTAATTAAGAGACTTTATTGGGGTGAACCAACTTAATAACCTGTAGTAACATGTTATAACAATGTCAAAAAAGAAAAAAAAGTTACACGTTGAACCAAGTGTACTGTGTGTACATGTTAAAAATGAAAAGGAAAAAACAATAAAGGCACGTGGATAATATAATTTAGGTGACATAGAGCACGTGTAAAGGGTCAACATGGCTCTGATACCATAAAAAAAGTTGAAATTTCACCATAAACCAATTGAGAGCACGTGTAAAGGGTCAATATGGCTCTGATACCATAAAAAAAGTTGAAATTCCACCATAAACCAATTGGCAATATGAGGAGTAGCTCAATCTCGTATAAGTTATTGCAAGATTTTTTCTTTTACCAATGTGAGATTTTTTTACCAGCACATCCTCACACAAAACACCTGAGCCATCACCAATTGTGACCTCGCACATGAACTTCTTCAGGCCGTGGGTATTGATGGAGGGAAATGAATCATCTCCGAATCTCTTTCACCTAATCATCCCCATCAAACAATCTATACCCTTGAAATTCGATCAAACAACTAAAATTATTATAACTTTTAGAGTGGGCCTCTGTTTGTGGCAGTTATATTACATTTCAAGGACCCGAATTGTTTGATGATGAGGATTAGATGAAAGGGATCATCTTCCCTTTTCTTGATGGAGTACAAGAATGAGATAAAAGAATAAGTAAGAGGATGTGACTCGAAAACTCTGACCGTGAGGGTGAAGGGAATATTATCAACTCTCTCAACTTCTATTCTTATTCCTTTACTTCTCCTGAAAGCTTAGCAAAAAGCAAGAATAATAAACAATGATAAATATATATTTATTAATTAAAGATATATAATAATAAGAAATTATGGAAAGGAGAGCAAGAGTAGTCTAGTTGCGTGCGTGCGGTGGCCTCCATTTCTTCGGTCAAACCTTTTATTTTCTTGATGGAAATTTTACCAGGACTACGACTACTGTACTAGACTAGTGGACTAGCACTGGCAGTCTAGCAGTGTAGTGATGAAAATGGAGGGAGGGAGGGCCGATCTCCACACCACAAACACAAAGCCTACCCTTCCAGACGGTTACTTTATTCTTCACGTATGAATTATGATACGATGATAATACCATATGCATGTATATTTTAATCTCTCTTGGAGTTAGATATCCATATATTTGTTTCAACTCTCTCTCTCTCTCTCTCTCTCTCTCTCTCTCTCTCTCTCCCCCTCCTTCTCTGTATAGTTTTTTTTTTTTTTTGTTGGTGTACAAGATAATGTATTATCCGGTCAAAGATGTCAAAGGTTACAAAGAAGCCTACCCCGAGGCAAACAAGCCAACTACAACAACTAGAAAGAAGTAGTGCAAGGAGGTACATTCGACACTGCATCTAATGCTAAAAGTGTCACTCCTCACACTACCAACTAGAACTTAAGGGGGACATGGAAGACCTGTAAGTTCTATTTGAGAGCAACACTCTGTGATTTGTACAAAGACTTTTGGGACGACAAGGAGATTAACATTAGCACATGTGGTAGACTTTTCAGGAGTTGTATTACTTAGGTATTCAAGTCAGAAACATTCTTAGATAAACTAGAATTCTTCTAGCTGATTTATGCATAAGTGATTTTCGGTGATAAGGTTAATCTTTGATAAGGTTTACTTAATGGGAGGACTCCTAATCAAAGACCATCATATACAGTATATAACTGAGGTCCTTGCACTCTTACTTCATCCGCAAGTTTACATAAATACTCTAGCCCCATTGAGTGAGCCTTGCTTTAGGTTAGTGCAGAGTTGCAGAAGAGCTTCAGTTTCTCGCCCTATTTCCTGAGACAATGTCTCCCTCAGGTTAGTGATTGGGTTAATATATAAGTCAGTTCTTATATATATATATATATATATATATATATATATATATATATATATATATATATATAATTTATTAGGTCTATCTTACAAGACCATCATTACATAGAACATGCACAAGGGAAGATGGGGGTCTGTTGACCTAGATATAATCACATACTTCTCTACTTTGCCCTGACGCCAAAAGGTCTGTCGACGTATTGGCCGATCTTGGAACCTAAGACTACTGGCAGTCATGAAAAGCCTCCCCCAATCCTTTGCTCTTTGCTAAAATTGGCAATGCTTCCCAATTACCCATCGTTGCCAAATCCCGAAGACATGAAACTGATTCCAAAGAATTAGACTCAACGATGACATGATTTCAGCCCATATACCTCCCCAGCTTACATCCTTGCAATATAGCCTTTGCTTCCCCCATCGCCACGCTAGAAGCAATCACCTTATATCTGCATGTAGCCACAAACCTAGAAGCAATCACCTTATATCTACATGTAGCCACAAACCTTCTCTCTTAATCCCGAGCCACCATACCCATGAAATCCGAACCCCAACTCTTCATCCAACTGGCATCCACATTTATTTTTATGAATCCTGTACATGAAGGAAACCATTGGACATCATTTCCTAAACCTGGAACTGTGACCAGAGGCCTGATGACAGGTACCCGAATGGCCTATTTGAAAGCACCCATCGAATGGGAAATAACGGTGATAACTTGCCATGGGTAAATAGGTTGTTGATTGAAAATGAAGTTGCATCTTGATTTCCATATATGCCAACAAGTTAATATATGAAAACAAGTTGCTCCTCTCACTTTTCTCGCCATTTACCGAAGCAAAAATAACACCCTACCAGTTCGCCCAAGTTGTAATTTCCTCCCTGCATAAACTTCTAGTCAAACGTCTCTCGTACCACACCGCCTCCACCCATGGGCATTGAAGAAAGAGGTTTTCTATTGACTTTTCAGTCAAGTTGCGAAGAGGGCAAATGGGTGAAGGAGAAGATTGCCGATTAAACAAATTAGCCATCGTTGCCACTGCTGCATGTAAAGACTTCTACATGAAGCATCTTATTTTCGGCGGTACCTTCAGATTCCACACACATTTCCATAAATGGTTTAGGATGATGGCTGACCCCTATGAGGGTTAACATTCATGTGTAGTCGAGTCCTGGTCAGTGCCTAATGATATCCAAATTTGACCGAATAGATCCATTTTTTCTCAAAAGACCACACCAATCTGTCATTCAAAGTTGGGTCACCCGTATGAGTCTCTAAAATCGCATTGAACTCATCTTCCACCACAAATGGTTTCAAGAAATCAATATCCCAAGCCCAATTTTAGTGCATATCAGAGAGTTGACCATTAAGTTCTGAGAGACTTGCACCGTGCCCAAGGGGAAAGGTCTTCTCGAAGGAATGTATGGTAGCCATTTATCCACCCAAACCCGAACCTCTTTTCCATTCATAATCTGCCAGTGTGCACCCCCACGAATAATTTCTCTTCCATCTAGGAGGCTTGACCATGCCCAATAAGCTCTTCCACCCCGCTTTGCATCGAAGAAAGAGCAATTTGGGAAATATCAGGGTTTAAGTACCGACACCCACAAGGAGTTTGACTCCATTAACAACCTCCAACATTGCTTCGCCAAGAGGGCATAGTTGAACTCCGCAAAGCACCTCAATCTAAACTCGCCTTCTTCTTTTGAACGACCCAACTGCTCCATCAAGACCTAATGAATCTGGTTTTCCCCTTATTTTTATCCCTACCAAAATTTTGAAATCATTACATCTAATTCATTGCAAAGTGTCATAGGAAACTTGAATAGATTCATAGGGTACACCGGAATTGCCTGCGCCACCGCCTTTATAAGAACTTCACCCCCTGCTTGTGAGAGTGTGGAACGCTTCCATCCCTGAATCTTACCCAAAAGCCTACCTTTTACATAAGTAAGGCCGTTTTTGTTTGATCTACCCTAAATGGCCGGAACACCTAGGTACAATCCCGGGTCCCCAACTTTCTCCATCCCAAGAATGGTAGCCAGTTGGATTGATAAAGACTCCGACACATTCCCCCTGAAAAAAAATACTTGACTTCGACTTATTGACCTATTAACCCAAGGCAGAGCAATATTCGTCAATTACCAGAATTAGATTTCTGCAATTTCTCTCATCTGCCTTTGGGAAAATCAAAGTGTCATTAGCAAAAAAATATGAGATATCATGGGACTGGTAAGACCCATTTGAACACCCTCAGTCCATATCCTATCACTCGCCTGTTGTATAAGAAGCGAGAACACTTCACTGACCAACATGAATAAATATGGGGAAAGAGGATCACTCTGTCGAATCCCTCGTGATGGTGCAAATTTGGAGCTAGGTTGTCCATTCAGAAGAATGGCAAAATTCACTGTTGAAATGCAACACAAAATCAAACTTCTCCATCGACTATCAAAACCCATCTTCTCCATTATTGCCAATAAGAAGTCCCATTCCACCTTATCATAAGCCTTATACATATCCAATTTGATCCTAACTCTAACTTGCTTTTCGTCTTTCTTGTTTTGAGGAAATGGAATAGCTCGTGCGCAATGCCAATGTTAGCTTGAATTTGTCTTCCTTCCACAAAAGCATTTTGGGTTGGAGAAATCAACTCTGGCAGTAACCTTTTTAACCAGTTAGCCAAGACCTTGGAAAGAATTTTGTATGAATAATTGCATAGACTTATGAGGAGAAGCTGAGACACTGACTCCGGGTTTTGAACTTTTGGAATTAAAACCAGGTGAGTAGCATTGATTCGCATAGGCGACATAGACCTAATCATCAAATCCTCGATCATTTTATTAACATTCGCATCAATTATATCCCACTGCGACTAATAGAAAATACCTTGAAATCCGTCTGGGCCCGAAGCTTTAAGACCTCCCATTTTCATAGCAGCAATTTTTATCTCGTCTACAGAGATTGGAGCCGTTAACGTTACATTTATCTCTTCAGAAACCCTTGGGGTGGCGTAATCAAGGATGGCTCCCTACT